CATCCACTTCCACTTAATCTCTCTCTAAGTCTTTGCTGGTGCCACAGGCACAGAGTTCTCTTCTTTGGTTTTGTCCTCCTGTTCCTTTGCTTGCTCTTGGTTCCACTTTCTCTCATCTTCTTAATTGCCTCACTCTTATTTCACCTCTTTAATTGTCCACCCTTCTCTGGCTCTTTATCATTTCAATAAATGCAGCTATTAACATCTCTATTGTTTACAAACTACCAAGGGCTCCATCACTCCTTTCCTCAGCTGAACAAGGGAGAAAAAACATAATGAAAACCCCATGGGTCGAGATAAGGACAAGGAGAGATCACTCACCAATTCCTGTCATGGGCAAAAGAGACTTGATTTGGGGAAAAGGAATTTAATTTATTTAAAATTACATCGGAGTAGGATAATGAGAAATAAAAGTTAATCTTAAAACACCTTATCTCCATCCCTCTCTTCTTCCTGTGTTCAACTTCACTGCTGATCTTCTCTACCTCCTCCCCTCCCTGCAGCATAGAGGGGTGGGAAGGGGGTTGCGGCCAGTTCATCACACATGGTCTCTGCTGTTCCTTTTTCCTCAAGGGCAGTAATCCTCACACTGTTCCCCTGCTCCAGAGTGGAGTCCCTCCCACAGGAGACAGTCCTCCATGAACAATGTGAATCCTTTCCAGGGGCTGCAGTTCTTCATGAACTGCTCCAGCGTAAGTGTCTTTCCATGGGGTGCAGTCCTTCAAGTACAGGTTTCTCCAGTGTGTGTCCCCCACGGGGTCACAAGTCCTGCCTTGCTGTCAGTTCAAGCTCAAGCTCAGTTAAACCAGCCCACTTCATCCTGCTGCTCCTCAGCTGCTCTTTAGGCCAGTGATCACGTATGCCTACAATTCGGGGGACATCTTTGGTCCAAACCTCTTCCTGTGTCCTTATTCAGGTCAAGCCTGAGCCTTCCAAGGATTGTTCTATAAATAATTCCTGATACAAAGCCTTTCTGTCTCCATCCATGGAGCTAAGGCTCTCATCCACACCGAATTGCCACTTTGAATTGTGCTTACTGCCAAAGCATTTGTCCTGCCCTTAATAAATGCAGCCCTGTCCTGCACATAATCACTTCAAGTATCTTGGCAAAGGATATGGGTCTAGCTGGTCCTCCTGTGCTGCCATGCCTATATTTGCATTTCTCCCTTAGCTCCCTGTCACATCAGATGAGAGATGCTTGTCCTCACTTTCAAGACCTCCTGTAGTCCAACCCAGATCTGTCCGTCTCATGCACAGCCCCTCATGTGTAACAGAGTCAGCTCTGACATCACCCATCATCTGGTGACCAGGATTAGGTCTCCTTCTGTGCAGGTATTGCTGTCTCACTGACATCTCGTGACTGTGTGCACAACCTCCCCCTTAGGCCAGGAGCAATTGCCTGGTGTAGTGGGTTCCTTGTCCATGCTCTTATATGCTACAAATTAATAGATATAAAATGCCAACGGCAGCCACCAAGTCACAATAAACATTTGCATAATAATATAAAAAATGTCAGACAACATTAAGAGGCACAGCTGTAATTTAGAGATAATGTATGCTGGGAGAAACTGAATGCCTTTGTCACTCCTTTGATGATGATGCCACTTCTAAGAAGCATTGCAGATTTCACAGAATCATAGAATGGTTTGGGTTGGAAGGGACCTTAAAGATCATCTAGTTCCAACCCCCCTGCCATAGGCATGAGTACCTTCCACTAGACCAATTTGTTTATTAATACCTGAAAGTGTTTAAATTTTTTTTAGTGTCAAAGAGTGTTTTGAACAGTTTACAATATACAAACTGAAAGGAATAGCATTAGACTTGCACTTTTGACTTAATACTTACTTTTTCTCCTTTCAGTGACTAACAGTATAACCTTAATTTTATGTTAACTGTGTTGGGTTTTTATATATGCTTTGTCATTAAAAGTAAGAGGAAAACTGTGATTAATAGCCTACCCCTTTTAAATCCCTTTAAATGGGTGACCTAATTGCAGCCTTCCAGTACCTGAATGGAGCCTACAAGAAAGACAGAGAGGGGGTTTTTGCATGTAGTGACAGGACAAGGGGGAATGAATCCAAACTAATAGATTTAGATTAGCTATTAGGAGGAAGTTCTCTGCTGTGGTAGGTAGTGAGGCACTGGCACAGGTTGCCCAGAGAAGTTGTGGATGCCTCATCCCTGGAAGCTTTCAAGGTCAGGTTGGAAGGGGCACTGAGCAACCTGGTGTAGTGGAAGCTGTTCCTGTCCCCTGACAGCAGTTGGAACTGGATGATTTTAAGGTCTCTTCCAAACCAAACCATCCTCTGATTCTGTGATTCTATGAAATCCACATAGACCGGGGGAGGCGGAGGGCGGAATGGGAAGAATAGAGTGAGCAGCTCCTGCAATGAGAGGGACACAGATAGGCAGGAGCGGCAGTTTCCCCGTTGGCGGGGCAGGGGAGCAGACCCTTCCCCACGAGATGAGGGGCCGTGGGCCGGGAAGGAGCTCCGCAGGGCTCGTGGTTCTGCCGGCCCAGGAACTACAGCTCCCGGCGTGCCCCGCGAGAAATGAGCCCAGGAAGAGGCGGGGCGAAAGCGGAAGCAGCTGGCGCGCGGCACACCGGGATTAGTAGTCCGGAGGCGGCCGGCCGCCACCTGCTCGGGGCGTGCTCCCGCGTATTTGAAAAATTTCCCCGGCGGAAGGCCGCGCCAGTCTCGCCGAGATCTCGACCCCCCCAACCCGTCCCGCCCCCCGCGCCGGCGGGTGAGCACAGGTGGTGTGGGGCGCGCGGGGGCCGCGTGGGCCGGGCCGGGCCGTTTGTCGGCGCGTCGGGAGCGGGGAGATGCCCGCCGCAACGCCGGTCCACAGTATACCGGGAGAGGCGGGATGGCTGGGCTTGCGCTGCTGGGCTTGCGCTGGGGAAGCGGCCTGGGCAGGAAGGAGGGCGGCGGCGACCCCCCGCCCGCCGCTGTCGTTTCGTCCTTTCTTCCTTTTCCCCCTGCCCCAGCCGTACGGCGCTCCGAGATGCGGCCAAGGCCGGCACCGGCTGAGCGCCGCCGGCCCGCGGGGGCCTCGGGCGGGGCCCGGCCTCCCCCGTCCCTATGTAAGTGACCCCCGGGCTGCGGGCGCCGTGGCCGGCCGGCACGTTGCCGGCTCGTCCGGGCGCGGGGGAGGCCCTGGGCAGCGCGGCCTGGCAAAAGCGCACATGGGAGGGAGGCTCCGCGGCGGAGCTCCGCCCGGGCTGGGGGCGTGGGAGCGGCGGCTGCCGCGGGGAGCTTTGCCTCTTGCCCGACCAGCTGCGCACGCCCTCTGCTCTCGCTCCTTCGGTCACGTTCTTGGAGGGTTTTTCTTTTCTTTTAATTCCACCTTCCCTCCCTCCCCCCCCCTCCCGACTTGTATTCCATGAGGAGGCGGGAAATGCTCCTCTGTGCGCGGAGCTGCGACTGCGGGATGAGGGATGGGTGTAATGGGGAGGGCACAGCTTCACAGGAATCCAGTGCGATTTGTGGGGGTCCCTTTGCATGAAGCACAGCGTCGCGCAGCAAAGTTGCTGGCTTAAACGAAAGTGCTCAGTGTCTTCCCTAATAAAGCGTGACTCCAGGTCTGGAACTTCTGCCGATAGAAAGGTCGGGGTCAGTCTTTCAGGTTTAACAATTGCTTCCTGATCACGTTAGGGGAAGTTAGGAGAGATTTAGGGCCTTGATTGTGTCGGGACTGCTGCACTCCGTGTAGGGTGTAGGGCCAAGCGTGGCCGTTCAGGTGCCTTTGCAGGGCCCGTCGGTCTGGGTGACGGTGTCAGCCTTGGCTGGCAGCTGTCCCACGCGTTTGGGCACAGCTCTGTATCCTGTGCTGCGGAGGACAGCTCCTCATTCACATGCTGCCTCAGCTCTCTTTCCTGCCTCGATATGCCTGGGTTGGCTTTTTCAAGTCAGTGAAATTAGCATGATCAGGCTTCTGTTAATTCTGTCTTCTGGCTAGTAAGGTGTTGGATACAGTTTTAGAGAAATAGTGATGACTTTGGTGGTGTGACATTGTTTTACTTGTGTGGGTGAGAGAACAGAATCCTCAAATTGGTAAGAGAGAGTCACCAAACACCTGGGCCTGTTGCATGGAATGCAAATGTTTCTGCAGTTGAGCTTGTCAGATTGCTGGTTGTAAAATCTTATTTGAGAATTAGACATTCCAGATCTATCTGGAAACGCTGCTGGGCAGCCTGCTCTAGGTGACCCTGCTTGAGCAGGGAGGTTAGAACAGATGACCTCCGGTGATTCTGGCAGGTCTTTCTCTGTTGTGATTTTGGAATTTGTACTGAGAGCGTGAGCCGTGTGATGGAATAGCAGTGTGATATGCTGGAAATGTCTTCCATAATACAGTAGTAAAACAAAGGAGCAGATAGAGAGATGAGAGATGGCAGCAAGGCCTCTCTTTGGGTGTCAGCGAGGTCATCATGTCCTGTGAAATCATGTCTTCAACTCTGACTGACCATATTTTTAGCTTTTTCTTCAGTAAGCCCATAACATTGTTGGCCTTTCAAACTGATTTTCATGTACTACCATCAGTCAAAAGTGACATTTTAGAACTCTGACTTGGCTGTGATTGTGCTTGAACATGCAATTTCTCTTTTTCTTTTTTCCCTGGAGCTTTTTAATCCAAAAATCTATCACACTCCTTTCTTTGGAAATAGTTCATGATGTTTGGAAGTCATAAGTACCTAGGGTGAAAAAGAACGGTCATTTTGCACACTGACCACTTTGCTGTAGGATACTGCTGGGAGGTTGGATTTTGGTTTGTTCCTGAAGAATGGAGTAAGCCTGTGGCATTTCATCCTAATCTGATTTCTAACAGAAATAGGAATGTGACTGTAGTAATTGTTTTCAAAGAGAGCAGAAATGCAGTTTCTTTGGGTATATCTTTTAAAGAAGAGGCTTCATGCCTTTAACCTAGCTATAACTATTTTCCCTCTGTTTTGATTTCCCAATAATCCATGATTTAACTTAGCAGAGTGATTCAAGCAAAGCATCTTAATAGACAGATCATTATATATTGTTCATAATTTATTATGAAGTTTATCATCCTTGTTCCATATCACCACGCCAGATTTCTAGAAAAAAGGAATTGTTTAAAATGACCATTGGCTTACTGGAGGAAACCTGCACCAGCCTGAACTTGAGAGCAACCATTCATTTGTTACAGGAATGGTCCAGATGTTGGAGTGTTACTTATTTGGTGGTTCTTACTGATGTGCTTGGACTGATAAGCATGTTTGATTTGGACTGAGGACAGGACTACAGTGTGTCAAAGTATGAGCTTTCCATCAGAGAAGAATTCTCTCTGAGAGAGTGGGAAGTTTGGACTGGTGAGTGGTTTGCTTTAAACTCCAATCTCCCTAATAGAGTATCTTTAAATTTGGTTTCCAGTTTGGCCACACAAGGTTCTATGCTCTTGGCAAGTAGCAGTGGCCCAGGCAGGGTCCCTCAGGATGACTCATGGGTAGCACGCAGCTGAGAAGTTCCCTTGCATGCTGCTACCTGCCCTACTAGAATATATTTGTTCACTCTTTTCTTAAAATTGCTATTACTGTGATATATTGTATTAATAATCGTAAAATACTTACCACACAGGCATCTCCATGCTTATTTACAAAAAAAAAATAAATTTTTTTATTCATTACAATAATTTTGAAATTTTGGACTCTTTTCTGACACTCCTTAGTATTTGTTGTCAGAGTCAGTGTTCTCCCTTAAAGCAGGATTGACCAATTGAATTTTAAAATAGGCAACTCTGGGCAGATTAAGGGTGATTGTTCAGTGCTTTCATTGGTGATCTGGACAATGGGGCAGAGTGTACACTTCGTAAGTTGACTGATAATAAAAAACTAGGAAGAGTGGTGATAGACCAGTGGGTCATGCTGGTACCCAGAGGGACTCTGTCAGGCTGGAGAAATGGGCTGACAGGAACCTCCTGCAGTTGAACAAGGGGAAGTGCAAAGTGCTGCACCAGGGGAGGAACAACCCCAGGCTCCAATACGTGCTGGGGGCTGCCCAACTGGAAAGAGCTTGGCAGAAAAGGCCCTGGGAGTCCTGGTGCACACCCACTGGTGGTGAGCCAGCACTTTGCTGTCCCTGCAGTAAAGAAGGCTGATGGTCTGCTGGGCTGTGTGAGGAGGAGCATTGCCAGGAGGTGGAGGGAGGTGAAATTCCTCTAGTCCAGCACTGGTGAGGCCACAGTTGGAATGCTGTGTCCAGGTGTGGGCTCCCCAGTGTAATAGAGAGATGAAGGTAGTGGAAAGAGTGTGGCAAAGGGCCACAGAAGTGGTTAGAGGGGATTGGAGCATCTCTTCTCTGAGGAGAGGCTGGAACTGTTCATCCTGGAGAAGAGAAGGCTCAGAGGGGATCTCATCAATGCATTTAAATGCCTGAAGGGAGGGTGTAAAGCAGGTGGAAGCAGGAACATTCCAGTGGTGCCCAGTGACAACCTCAAAGGCAATGGACACACAGAGAAACCTTTCAGAGATGCTATTCACCAAGCAGATGTACCTGCCTTAGTATTTGGTGTTATGGGTTACTCCTCAAACATATCCATTAAATCCTTCTAGTTAAAGTCAGAATGCTGGTGAAATTGTGGGACTCTTTACTCTCTGGAGCCCCTGGATGCAGTGCAGAAGTTGTCACTTGGAACTGATGGCAAGTATCAAACAGGAAACGCAGCAAAACTACTGCAAATAAGTTGTCCCATTTGGAACTTGCTCTGTGCTAGCAGTGAATGCTGGCAGAGTGGTCAGGCCTGGCTGCAGCAGCATCCTGCAATAGTGGCTTTGCCATAATTTTTCTTAAAATGTTGACCTGTGCTTAGTGCAGGCCCCTGAGTTACCCTTCCTGTGCTCGTTGTTGTCATGCCGGCAGCAGATACAGGAGCACAACCCAGGCACGGTGACCTATGTGTAGTATCTTGAGATGGTATGAAGAAAGCAGTGCTGTTTGAACAAGAGAATTGAATCTGTTCCAGAGGCCTTTACCATAAACCAGACAACTTGTAAAACACAATTACTTTAGTGTGTATGGAATATCTCATATCTAGCCACCTATTTAATGCTGTAAATCAGTTCCGCTCTTCAGTTTTTCCACCAAAAAATCTGTCTTGACATTCTGAAACATGAACTCTTATGGGGCACCTACAGAGGTGTGAAACTGTGAGAGACCTAGAAATTTTTGTCAAGTACTGCAGACATGTGGTAAAGAAAGGCAGTTGGAAGGAAGGGACATGAATAAGGAAAAGGAGGACTTCAGTACAGAAAAACCCCAGTGTTTTGAAGTGCTGTGTTAATATTTATCTCCTGAATGTATGGAAAAGTGCTCTCTAATTCATGAGCTGTGGAAGTCGGTATTGCTTGAAAATATCAGCAGTACATTTTCTGGAAGAATTTGAGAATGAAGACAGTCAAGAACTTTGTATTCCTGGATGTCCAAAATAAACATGCAGCAAGTGAACAAGGACATAAACGATGTGTGATATCTACTAGAAGACAATTGACAACAAATATTAAACTATTAAATCAAGGGAGAGGACAAAAGGAAAGTTATACGTCTTACTGAGAAGTTTTTTAATACATAATTTTTCTGAAATCACATCTTGCTAAACTGTGTGAGTAGACTTGAACTTGGTGTGTTATTTTCTTCCCTGTTATTGATATTGTCCATACCTCTGTGTCACCTTTTGTTGGTGATCTCATAGGCATCAAAAAAACAAATTTTCTCCTATTGCTCTGCTGTGAGAAGAAAAACAGCCATAAGTTCCCTTTTTTTTAACAAGAGAGCTACAGGTGATGTGTAGGAGATTTTTCACTGCATACTGATGAAACTTGGGTCATTCTCAAAAATATTTATGGCTCACATGAGACTCATTTTACCTTTTTTTTTTTCTTCATTTTCAGTGAAGAATGCGAGACCTAACAGCTCAGGTAACGAGCAGTCTGCTGCAGTTTCCAGAGGTGACTGTTGAGGCGCTTGGGGAAGATGAGATCACCCTAGACTCTGGGCTGTGTGGGAAGTTTTCTGGAGGTGAGCATTTTCCTTTAGATTTGGTCTTGGTTTAAAGTTGTTACTGCCTGAAGCACAGGGTCATAGCATCAGGCTGGTTCTGTTAAAATGCATCAGGTTCTGATAGAACAAACAAGATATTTTAACAACTAGAAATGCTAATATTAAACCATTAATAGAGTTAAGCACTGAAATTGCAAAAGCCTGCACCAATCTTGTGCTATTAAAATGATATATAGCATGACCATCCTGAGTCAATGAGTCCTCCTCAGTTTTGAACAGAATAGAAGGCAGTTTTGAACGGAATGGAAGGCAGTTTTGAAAAAAGCAGTAGTGTTGTTTTGGGCCGCATTTCTTTGTACCAGCTCAAGCTCTATCTCCGTCATAACATCCTGTGCAGGAATAGTTCTTCTACAATGTTACCGAGGCAGAACAGTCTGCTTTTCCTTCTCTAGTCTGAGTAAAAGGACAGAGGGAGAGGACAGCTCTGTTAAGCGCTGCCCACATATTTCCAAAGTATTTAATAGGATGCAGATGAGGACCCAGTGAGAGTTGCTGAAAGCAGCTAAGCAGATTAGATAGTTGACTTTCTAGGCAACCTGAAAGTCGAGCTGGATGTCTCTCTGGGTGTCTGAGCTTCTGTTAAGACCAGGTAGAATCTTACCTACCTGACTAAGTGCGGTACTGGAGTTAATCCTTCCTTTGAGCTTGAAGTTCTTCAGCGAAGCAACACGTGTTAAATTCTTTCTGTGATCAGCACTTGCAGAAGTTTAGATTTCTGTATGCAGTGCCCACAGGAATGACAAGTACAAATGCAAAATACTGAGGCTGTTAATTGTAAGAGGTACTGCCTGAGGATTGCAAAGGGTGATTTTAACTAATTGTCCAGAAGTAGGTAAGTTGGTCTTGCTCTCTTTGACAGTACCTTTTCCGTTGTTTCCGCCTTCTGTCTGGGATTTGTTTGGTCAGCTTTCTTCTCTCTTACAGGCAGAAGTGGGCTGGCGTGGCTGGCGTGTGGTCCTCAGCTGGAGGTGGTGAGCTCTGTGACAGGAGAGCGGCTCTCTGCGTATCGTTTCAGCGGAGTCAATGAGCAGCCTCCCACCGTTCGTGTGGTAAAGGAGTTTTCATGGCAGAAGAGAACTGGACTCCTGGTTGGGTTGGAAGAAGCCGAGGGAAGTGTTCTGTGTCTGTACGACCTTGGAATCTCCCGAGTGGTTAAAGCAGTTGTTCTTCCAGGCAGGGTATGTACTTGTTTGGGGAAAGGAAGCTTTTGGGTTGTTAACTTCTACACCATCCTGTTTTAGGAAAAGCTCTGGAGTGTCTCTTTGTGGGACTTACGTTTTCTGTATTGTCACTTCAGAGCACCCAGTCAAGAGAGCATATACATTGAAGTAAAATCTTGGGCTTAGCAGTACCATTGTCTTTTGAGTTTCCTCATAGTAAAACATATTGTAGAGCACAGTGACTTAATTCTCCACTTCTACGAAAAGGGCATTGAAAACTTTTTTTTTTTGTCAGAGCAAAAAAGAAGAAAACTCCACTCTTTAAAGTGTCTGTGATATATCTTTTTTTTAAATGGCTAATTTGTGTCAGAAATACTGTCTTTAAAGTATTTGTGTCAGAAATACTGTCTTTAAAGTATCTCAGACTTACATCGTATGACACATTCCCATGAATCTTGGACTAGAAAGCAGGTGACTAGGGAAGAGGACAGATTTTTCTGTTGACTTAGGATTGGAAAAAAGAGCTTTTAGTGAGTTATCTGTCAGATTGTTGGTAGATTACTTTCGATCTGCAGTCCTTAAATCTTATTGAGTCTAGTGTTTGTGTAGATGGGATACACTGGTGTAATGTTACTAATTTTTGCCTTCTCTGACCTGTAAACTCAAATGATGTAATGGCCCCAAGTTTCATTATTTTAAGTGGAAAGAAGTGTCAGTTATCAGAACATCAAGATTCATTGTGTTTTTGTCATCTTAGAATCTGCAACAAATAAATATTTATTGCTTAGCTTATTTATTGCTTAGCAAACCAAACATTGTTTAGTTTGACTTGCTAGGGTACAGGTGGAAGTGTAGTAGTAAGCATTTGTGTTGTGGTAAGTTCTGAAGATAAGAGTTGGGTGAGTGCTCTACTGTGTTGGTACTAGGTACCACTCTCAGCTTGGTACATGTTAGAGTTTGAGATGCAGAGGCAGGCTGTGTGCTGGCATAAGCATGTAATCCATAAGTAAATTGTGTGGTGATAAGTGATGTTGGTGTGCTAGGTTTTACTTCTGTCCAAGTAAACTGGGAATAGGAGAAGGAAAGGTTAAGAAGTAAGGGCCATGTTGCATATTGAGTCCATGTCTATGAAGAGTTTTGATATATCAAAAATGGTGAAACTCTGTAGGGAGTGTTGGCTGTTGCGTGATGAAGGGTATAAATTTTGGAATAAAGCCAAAGCTGACCTGAAAGTTTTGCTCATATACCCTGAAAACTCTTGATTACGAGTATGATCTGTTGCTTTCATTTTGCTTTCTACCTCTGTTATTGCGTTAGTTAAGTTACAATAGAGAGGACACATGTATTGCTAGTTGGAATGTTAACTTTCAGACTGTGAGCGGGAGTAAGGGTAAGCAAAAACAAGTAGGTAAAAGTTGTATTTGGCTGCTTTCTTTATGTTTTGAATTCTTTCTGCAACTCATATTTACGTATTATGTAATGTGTAATTTGGGGGGTTGATCTGTCTGAATGTTTCTCTGATTTTCAGATTGATTATTTTTAAAAGTAAAATTCAGATCTTTTCTTAACATCACTTTCTGAAGTTTTGTCATTACTGTTTTAAGGCTTTAATGAGCACCATGTTTTTGGGACTGTTTTCTGTGTGGGTATAAGCTCTGTGGACAATTAAATTGTGCAGGTTAATACTACCTTGGGGTAACTTTGCCCGAGGTATCAAGATATTTTTTATTAATGCAGGTTGTTTATAGTGACTGCATGACTACCTTCTGGTGTAATAGTGGATGTTTAGTCATTTGGAGTAAAGTAATCGATTAAAAAGGTCAAACTCAGGACCTTAAAATGAATTTTAGCATATTTTTATGTGTATGTGAGCATCTCTTATTGCCCTCTGGATATACATGTGAATGCAGCAGAAAACTGAAAATTTTGATGAGTCTGATTTGAATTGGATTCTAGTAACAGCAAATCTGAGTTAGAAACACAAATTACATTAAATTGGTTTATAGCGATGTGTCAGAACTGTCAAATGGTATTTTCCCAAATTTTTCCTGGTTTGTATGAGGCAGAAGGGCAGCATTCAAATACAGTGAGCTGAGAAAAGTTTTTTTTGTTCATTCCCAGAATGAGCTGGCAGTACTCTAGGAGAATAGGAAAAAGCAATGGACAGCGCAGTGGAAAAATGTCATTTCAGGAGTTTGTACATGGAAAATTGAAGTAACCAGGACACATTTTTGGAAGACTATGCAAAAGTAGAAAAGATTAATTTGGAGCCAGTTGTACAACAAAAAAAATCTTAAAAGAAAAAAGAAGTTAGAAGCAGCAATGCTTGAACTTTGGCTAATTCTGCAGCAAGATGAGTATTGCAGTTCCTGCTTTCCTCGTGACAGTCATCAAGACTTGGAGGAGCAAGAATTCAAATAACCAAAATACTTTTGCTAGTCCTTTGAGCAGCAGAGAGGATTGGAAATTTCATTTGAATCATAGGAATTCTGAAAGAAAACAGAGTTGTCTAAATGGGTATAGGTACCTCTAAGGTTGGAGTGCTTGTCCCAAGATGAAAGGTGAATTCTGTAGTAGATTGCCAGGCAGTGCAGTCATAGCATGTACTTGATATAGGAGAGAAGAAAACTTTAGGGAGCTGAGGGATGTGGATACTTTTCCCCACTTCTAGGGGTAAAAGAATCTGCATAAAGAGATGGACTGCCTTGTGATGCTCACTTCTTTTCCAATAAACGTTTGTTGTTGAGGTAAAGCTGCCTGTTTTCATGGTGTGATGTTTTGTAAGAGGCTGAACAACAGCCCGTGTTGTTCTGTTGTTCAGCTTTAGTGCAGGAGCCTTCATGTGCTCGTGTCTCTGCTAGAACAGCCAGTGTTGTCCTGGGGTGTGCTGCAGGTGCTGAAAGGTCTGTCTTCACCTTTTCCTGGAAGAGTGTTCAGACTGCTTGGCATGTCAGGGAGCAGAGAGCACTTGTGCCTCAGGCTGGTTGAGGTTGGCTTTTACAGATTTCATGGACATCCACAACAGTTGCTGGTGTGTGTTTAAAATTTGTCTTTGTCTGTTGGGTATTTTCAGTCTAAGTGAGGAGATGTGTAATTTCTGCTAAGCCAGGGTCTCCCTTCAGCCCTTTCTAAGAATGTTTGATTCTCATGGAAATGGTGTGTCCATTGTGCCCTTTGGCCACTGCCTCGTTTGACTTGCAGCCCTGATTTATCCCACTACTTGTTTGGCAAAGAAGGCCTGGATTGTATCACAGTGCTGATGGTCTGTGAGCAGTGGGAGAAGTGGATTTAGCTGTGTCTGTCTTACTTAAACTTAAATCACTTAGATATGATAAAGCTTTTTGCATGTAACTGATTTTGTGTGCTTTCTTAGACTTATTTCTAAGTAGGAAATGGAAATTGGTGAGCTATAAAGACAGAATGCAGCATGTAAGGGGAGAAGGTTTTCTTTTTATTAGTTTCCTTTTTGCTCAATATAATTGGAAGCAATGCTTTGTTTTCAAGTCTTGTGATCTTGTATTTACTTTCTTGTTTCTAATATGCTAAATACTGGCTTCACTTCTGAGTGATTGCTGTTTACCTTGTCAAACAGCTCCGATATTAACTTGTAGTTTTCCTGTAGGTAACTGCAATAGAACCCATAAGCAATGATGGAGGAGCCAGTGTGAGCACTCGGCACCTACACCAGAGTCTGCGATGGCTTTTTGGAGTGGCAGCAGTGGCTACAGATGTTGGTCATGTACTTCTGGTTGATCTTTGTTTGGATGATTTATCTTGCAGTCAGAATGAAGTAGAAGCATCAGGTAAGCCTGCAGTTTTTAAACTTAAATTTAGAAGTAAGAAAATTTGTGTCTTGTAAAAAACCAGCTTGCGTCCCACTCTGAAGATACCAGAGTGCAGGCTCACTGCTGACATTACTGCCATTTCTGCCTACAGATTGCAGATGGCAGTTTGACATCCTGTGGTCCTGACCTGATCAAAAATAGGAGTGCCTTAATACTCCTCCTGGTGTTGTAAATACCTCTTCCTACCCAGATCCCTTTGTCACTGTGATACTTGCCAGTGGGATATAGGAATTTTACCATTTGAGTCAGTGCACCTGCCTGAAAGAAGGTTATGTAAGAAGTACCATATTTCTTGGGAGTGTTCTCCCTTTTCCATTAATGGACTTGGGGCAAACTTTAGGCTTGCATTTTAAGATAAACCCAACTTATCAAAAATCCTACATTTGGATGAATGAACCCTATAAGTTGTGTATTCAGATTGCACAGACTTTTTTTTTTGGCTATTTCAAGAGTGCCTTCAGGTGTTGATGACCCTTCAGGTAGATCATCTGAGGCCCATACTCCTGATTTATAGAGTCCAAGAAGAATTTGTCTACAAAAGTTATACTTGTACCCAGCTTTGAAATAGGAGTGAGAGTACCTGTCCAATGGCAGACTTCTTCTGTTCTTTGAATAGATACAGAAACAGCAAAAAAGGTTTTACAGAAATGGGTATTTTGCCTGGGATGGTAGAATTAGTTTATACATGTTGTCACCTGAGTCTAAAATGCAACTGAAATGGCATAACATGCTCATTTATTGCCTGCTTTTATGTATGTAGACCTAGAAGTTGTCACTAGAATTCCTGCTGAAGTTCCACAAAGAAGAGAAGCTGTGACCAGAGAAGGGAGGCATCTCTGTTTTCAATTACGGAGTCCTTCAGGAATAGCAGTGTCAAGCCTGAGCTACATAAGCAGAAGCAATCAGCTTGTTGTGGGTTTTTCCGATGGTTACCTGTCATTATGGAACATGAAAACATTGAAGAGGGAGTAAGTAGTCCTTTCCACTTGGCCATGGTTGGAGGTGCAGTGGTCTCAATGTTTTGCTTCAGGAAGTCATGCAGTAGGGATGTGATAGAGCTGATTTTTTTCAAGTCTGTTCAAACCAGTAGTATTTAGTTAAAAGCAGGTAGTGTGTATTTCGATGAAACAGGTTTTATAAAGTGTTTTTCAGAATGAGTTACTGCAATTACGGCATACACTGAAAGGCTTCAGTATGTGAATAATGTGATTTTCGTGATAATATTCTTTAAAGTGCGCATGATGGAGCTAGCGAAACATGATGATTCAGTAGCTGATCTGTGCCTGAAAACATGTTCTTTCCTACATTTCAACCTTGATGGAAGTAGGTCATTGACACATTCCAAGAAAAGGATGCATGTGAATGAAAGTTTGTTTGGAAGACTTGGAGGTCAGAATAAGGGAGAACTGAATTTATAAGCAGTAGAAAAATTAAGAGATTATTTTAAATCTTCTAGTTGAAATATTGGACCCAATTCAGATAGAGCTTTACTTAAGCAAATATACAGTGACTCACCAGAAATTACTGAATGCATAAATGGACAGTGGAGGCATAATTAGATGGCTAGAAGAAATTGTGAAGGTACAATTCAGAGTTCGGGAAGAAAAATATTTAAGAAGTAGTCGCTTGTCAGTTGTTCAAGATGGAAGTATGACCTTCTGTACTTTGAGGGTGAACATGTAAGGTACTTTTTTCTCAGATGCTTCTATCCTTCTACGAACAGGGCCAGCAAGGTCACCTTTCTTCTTTATCTTTTTTTCTTTTTTTTTTTTTTATACTCTAGGCACTACTCTCAGCTTGAAGGAGGAAGAATTCCTATCTATGCCGTTACTTTTCAAGAGCCTGAGAATGATCCTCGCAATTGTTGCTACTTGTGGGCTGTTCAGTCTACACAGCAAAGGTGAATAAAAAATTGCCATAAGCCACTTTTTTTAAAATATTTGTTTACATACACTTGATATCTGCGTATATGTTTGGTTTATTTAGCTGTGCAGGAGATTCAGGTGTGAAAGGTGTTAAGCTTACAGTGCAGTTTTCTTCAGGATTTTACACTCCTAAAGAGGGATCTAGTCATTCCTACTTTGTGAAAGAAGGCAAAGCGACAATGATTATATATTTTTGCTTTCAGTCTTAAATGATTTCCCTTGTTTCTTGATGACTTCTTCAGGATTTGTTTGATATTCCCACCATGACATTAAATTCCATGTAAAATGGTTTAGGCTGCAGATGCAGAGCAGTAAACATCATCAGCAAGCTACTTAATCTGCCCAGCTGTTCAGAGAGTGGCAGTCTTCTTAAATTTGACTTCAGAGCAGTTTTGATGAAGAACACTTTACTGTTAAGAGTTATTACCAGCAATTTTTTTTGTCCATACAACTTATTAAAACTTTCCAAGGGTATAGTTAGCATTTGCTCCTGAAGCTGTTAATGTCAAAATTTCCTCAATTTTTAGCGGTTAAATGTGACCAATTATCAAGTCTTGGGAAGTAGTGTTTTTCTTTTCAGCAAGAGCATGCTATTGAGTAAATTTCAGCCTAGATCTAATAAAATGATAATGAGGACTATAAAGCAGCTTTGTAATCAAATTTCTTAATTTATACCTTTTTCAGTGAAGGTGATGTTGTGAGTTTACATCTGTTGCAGTTAGCATTTGGTGACAGGAAACGTCTGGCATCTGGACAAGTCTTGTATGAGGTAAGACATTCCCGTGTGTGAGAAGATGAAAATAGTAATTTTCCCTGAGCATCAGTTAAGTTGGTCAGGCTAATATTTACCATGAGAGATCAGAGAGGACTAAAGAAACGAAAGTCTTTTGGTGAATCTTCTCGGACATGGCCTTACTTCATACTTTTCAGAACAATTCCTAGAGCTGTGGAATCATAGAATTTTTTTGGTTGCAAGACCTTAAAGATATCTAATTCCACTCCCCCACCATGGTTATGGATGCCACCCGCTAGATCAGGTCACTTACAGCCCCATCCTTGAACACTTCCAGGGACTGGACATCTACAACATCTCTGGGCAGCCTGTTCCAGGTCCTCACCACCCTTCCCGTAAAGAATTTCTTCCTAACATCTGGTTTAAATCTCCTCTTTTAGTTGAAAACCCCTTCCCCCCTGTCCTATCACTATCTCTTCTTGTAAAATGTCAGTCTCCCTCTTTTTCATAGGCTCCCTTTAAGGGCAGAAAGGCTGCACTGAGATCTGACAGGATGATGTTGGACTTCTGGGCTGCAAGCGCACATTGCTGGCTCATGTCCAGCCTCTTGTCCACCAAAACCCCTAGGTACTTCTTGGCAGGGCTGCCCTCAATGAGTTCTTCTCGCAGTCTGCTTGTGTCTGGGATTGCCCCGAGGTGCAACACCTTGCTCTTGTTCTTGCTGACTTACACTACATTTACCTGGACCCACTTCTTAAGCTTGTCCAGGTCCCTCTGAATAGCATCCTGCTCTTCTCAACTATTCTGTCAACTGCACTGCTCAGGTTTGTGTCATCTGCAAACTTTCTTAGGGTGCACTTGATCTCATTGTTTTTGTCATTGATGAAGATACTGGAGAGCACCGGTCCTAGGACAGAGCCCTGAGGGACATCACTCAGCGTTGGCCTACACCTGGAGATAGAGCCATTGACCATAACTCTGGCTGTGTCCATCCAACCAACTCCTTATCCACTGAATAGTCCACCCTTCACATCCATGTCTCTTCAGTTTAGAGATGATGATGTCTTGATTGTGTCAAAGGCCTTACAGAAGTCTAAATAGATAACATCGGTGTCTTCTGTTGTTGACTGTTGCAGTCACTTCATCATAGAAGGCCACCAGATTGGTCAGACACAATCTGCCCTTAGTGAAGCCATAAATTTTATGTTGCAGTGTCATGTATTTCAACTAGACTCATCTGCAAAGAGCCTGTATGCAGTCAATTCCTGAAGAGGAAACAGCTCTTACAAATGAAATTACTCTTAATTTAAACGTCATATGAATGGCTTGTAGGAAGAGAAGACGGGGCTTTGAATAGCTTTGTGTAACCAAACTATAAAAATGAAGAAGCTTCTCTCTGTCTCCCTTTCTTAAAATAGGGTCATGTATGTCTGTTCTTTTCTGTTCTCTATTCTATAGTCTTGTTTTGAGCTCTGTCAGCTGGACTTCAAATAACATGTACCTACAGTGTCTCTTAAGCATTGATCCTGAAACTTAGCAGCTGTAAAGATAACTCTCTTCAACCTTTTTGTGGGGGTCACCTATGCAGTCTACTCTTAAAGCCAGCAAAAGATGTAAATTCAGTGAACAGTGGTATGACTTGGTCAAAGAGTCTCCATACATTTTTAGGACTGGTTACAGAGATGATTTATTTAAAAGATAGGTGAGGTCTCAGATGTCCAACATCTATGAGAGGCACCTGTACAACGTTTAATTCTGTTCAGAAGTGTGCTTGAAACTTTTCCAAGATCTTTTTGGTGGGAAAGTAATCTTAACTCAGAGCAAGTCTTTCCTCCTATTTTGTACTTTGTCTTGCGTACTCTCATTAGGTATGGAATGAAATTGAGGTGATTGTTGGACTGTGGTACTCTTGTTTTTATAGGGACGAAACATTTTGAATTTTTGAATGAGTTTAAATTTTGTTCCTTTCTTCTTATGTATAGGAAAGTTTCTTCCTTATTTGTAAGTGTTGCTTTTGAACAGATAAAGGTTAGGTGTTTGGAGGTGCTGTTTCTTTAAAATTCTTCATCTATCATGGTGACAAAGTAGAAATATCTTCAAGTGGTTCAACATGTTCTAAATATGGATGTCATCTCTATGTGCAGTTTTTTAATGACAAAAATATACAGTGCTCTAGAGGAGCAGAGCACCCTGATTTGTTTTTTGTGGTGGTTTTTTTTATTTTTATTTTAAAAGGACTTTCATTGCAGTTCACTGCTGCTTCTCTTGTAGTGCTCTAAACTCTTTGACAGGTTGATAGGAGAAAGTATCTTTAATCTTTTTCAAGATTCACTTCTAGTTTCTGCTTTGTTTTAACCTCTTTTAAAAGTTATTTTCAGCTACAGTCTTAGCAGTGACAAACACAATAACTTTTACTGTGTGCTGCATTGTAAAGAAAAGAAATTGTCTCTTTTTCTCATGACTACTTTCTCCTGTCTGAACACTTTAGTGTAAAAAAGTGGGACCTTTAACTATTTGGCAGGTTTTTGTCTTGGTTGTCTTTTTTCTCTGAACAAAATGTGAAAAATGTCAGCTTTTACCTCAGACGGTTGAAATATTTCATCAGCCTTTAAAAATGGATCTGCTAGAAATTCCAGTTGACACTCTTTAAAAAAAAAAACAAACACACAAAGCGTTTAAAAAATGTTATTGTGTTTGTGAACTGGAAAACTCGTGTAGTTAATGTAAGACTTCGAATCCTACAGACTATGCAACCAGTAGTACATTGACAGGCTTATAAGCAGTGTCAGGCACCATTCCCTGAATTTGTGATCTTTTACTCCCCTGCTGTTTCTGCTTCCCTGTGATGAGTGTGTTGGAAGATTGCAACAGGAACCATTCTTAGAAGGCTGTTGAAGAGAGAGCTGAACATCTTGACCCTCTCAGGAGAAAAGACAGGTTCTTCAGCTGGCTTCCAGATGTGCCACTTATACTTGTAGCTTCATGCTGAGACCTGATAACAACTACTGACAATATACCCCCCTCGAACAACTACTAACCCCTCCCCAAAAGACACATCAGGACAGGATCTGTGCTCTCCAGTGAATACTTAGTCTCAGAATACTTCCTTGTGGTCACAAATTGGTCAGTACGACATGACTGTCTGCTTGCATGATGGAATCAAGTTCCTTGTCTGCCTTCAGTGGTATAAAATTTAAGAGTTGTTCCCATTTACCAGGGTGGGCTTGAGTAAACAAGGAGAAATCAATCTACTGTTGCTCCTTGTTGACTGAATAGAGGTCACAGGAGCTTGAAACACCTGTCTGCTACGTCACTGCTTTACTGATACCAGGAATCAGGCTTGAGGCTATGAAACCATGCAGCTTTGACTTTGAGTACGCTAAAAAATCACAAGTGGAACTTCTGGAATACATGACACTGTGTTTTTATAAGCATGTGTCAAACTTGTGTGTCTATTGCCTTCAAGGCTTGTTTAAGTTTGCTCAAGTAATAACTGAAAGATGTGTTTAAATTAGGCTTTCAAAGACCTTTTCTACACCATCTCAGCAGCTGCTGTATCTCGTGCACCAACTCATGGTCATGGATCACTTCTTTACCTTTGTCCTACACAGTGCTTGTGTACAGTCTTTCCATTCACCTCAGAGTCTGACCAGTGCATCTCATTTGAAAACTGTCTTATTTAACTGGTCGAGAACATCATTACTTAATATCTTCCATGCGATGGAGTTTCTTAACTTAGATTTGCTTGCCCCAGTGTGGAAAATTTTAAAAAATGTGGTTTTGCTTAAAAACTTGTCTTTGACAGGAATTGTTTGATGTTATTTTCTCCTTCCCCTCCGCACCAACTTCGTGTGGGACTGGCTCTTCACATATGAATGAAAGCTGAAATTTCTAACCATTAAAATGAATGCCTGAACAGGTTTATGAAATAATAGTGCTTTATCTTGTGAAACTGTCTTTTGGAATGGTGGACTTCTTGTTCAGGACAGCATCTTTTGTTAAAATTGATTTTAGTGATTAGTCATTCTATAATAAAGATGAGATTCTTTGCTTAGGCTTCATGTTATTTTTTCAAAGAGATGGGTTTGTTTTTTCTTATCTACCCTGCATGTGTCTGTTATTTCCAAAATTCCTGGATAAAATGAAATGGACTGTGCATACTTCAGAGCAAAGTTTGGCTAAGGAAATACTAATTTTTAAAAATATTCAAACAACCAAACTTACCTGTTACAGTTTGACACTTAATTCTTTCACATGTCAAATGTAATTTTTATTTCCATCAGAAGTAAGCTCATGGGAAATAAATAGTGTATAATATGCATATTATATTAGATATCTACATTCTTTCATAGTGGATCTAATGATTTTTTTTCTCCCCCCCAGGGTTTGGAGTACTGTGATGAAAGGTACAGTTTAGATCTCACTGGTGGGATTTTTCCCTTGAGAGGGCAGACCAGCAATACTAAATTACTCAGCTGTCAGACCATAGAAAAATTTCGCAACCATGTTGACAGAGAGGACAGCGTTAATGAAGGTTTGTTCTGATGTCCATGTTTGGTTGTTGTAAACTTAATGGTTTGGGAATCTAAGCGATGAATGCTGTTCTGTACCCACAGTCTTCAAGCCAAGCTTTTAGGGCGTATTTAAAAAGAAGAGTTGTTTGCTTAAGTTATGTGGGACTTCTTTATTCCTCTGAACATCATTCTTTAAGGGAAAAAAATAGGTTTTACTTTATGTTTGCTGACATGCTAGAAGGACGTGTGGTTGGGTCATCTGTGTAATGCTGGTCAGGCAGTTTGTTCTTTGTCAGCCAGTTGTTGTCTTTGAACAGTAAGATTGTTCTTTCTGTTGCTTAGAAATGTTACCTGTTTTTCTTTTTTTCCTGATCAAACCTATGGCTGCATCCAGTTGGCAACTGGTCACTAGTGGTGTTCCCCACAGCTTAGTATTAGAGCGAGTTCTGTTTAATATCTTTATTGATGATACAGATGAAAAACTGTAATTAGCTAATAATTGTGTATTTGGTTTGGCTTAGAATTGACACTATTTGAACAAGAAAGAGAGACAATATGACTGAAACGTATCACTGAGATGTTCGATATTCTGTAAATTATTTTTATCATTCTTAGTGAAGTATTGTGTTTCATGAGTGAAATAACAGAATTAAGCTAAAATAGAAAGTGGTGTTTTAAAAACAACAAGTATTTTGTATTTTCTACAATAAGAAACAATGGCTTGTTTTTGACAGTAATCTCTCCTGACACCAGTGTATCAATCTTCAGTTGGCAAGTGAATACATATGGTCAGGGAAAACCATCTACTTATTTGGGCGTATTTGACATCAATCGCTGGTATCATGCTCAAATGCCAGACTCACTGAGGTAGGTTTTTATTAGACTGCTTTCAATATCCCCACAAGTAAGTCCTTTGAAAGTTGGTGTTTAGCTGATGCACTTGTTTTCTTTAAGGCCAGAAGAATTCCTTCATGATTGCCCCTATTTTGCATTGTGGTCACTGGATGCTGTAATAAGCATGACTTCTCCAAACCTCATTTTGGATATTCTGGTACATGAGCGGAGTTTAAGTCGGGGAGTTCCTCCTTCTTATCCACCACCTGAGCAGTTTTTTAATCCAAGCACCTATAACTTTGGTAGGTATTTCACTGCTTTGACTAGTGACAAGCTTCAGTTGAGGTCAAATGCCACTTAGTGGTTATCTTTCTTGTTCCTCATTTGTCATACCAAAAGCAAAACAAATGAAACACCCAAACCCTCACAAACCTGGTGACCTTGCGCTAACAAGGTCTTCAGTATTGTGAAACATATCTGACAGTCTGCTGAGTTGTGGGTTTTGGTGCTTTTGTAATGTAGCCTGTGAAGGGCTGATGGTCATAAGATGAAATGACTTTGGATTGAGGTACAAAGCACAGCACCTCGGTAGCTCTACAGATAAAATTTCTACAGACAAATAATTTTTTAAGGAAGTTTGTAAGTGATGAGAGTATTGAAGGTTGTCAAGCATTTCTTTTTTTCTGCAGATGTTACGTGCTTGCTGAACTCAGGAGTCATTCACATGACTTGCACCGGCTTTCAGAAAGAGGTGACTTTTTTACTGTATCTATACTGAGAACGTCAGGAGACGTACCTTCTCCAGGTTTTCTCCTGCACTGTTTGTGGGCCAGAGGCCATTTTATGCTCATCCTGTCTGTTCACATGCATAACTGCAATCATATCCTGCCAGTTTTATGCAAATAGTACTGTTTCAGGGAAGCATGAGCAGAGATTGAATGCCTAGAAAGGAATGCAATGTTGCTGTTGGAGCAAGAACAAAAGCGTTGTGGAAGTTGGGGAAAGCAGTTACTTCTTGATTACCCATCAGTCAAACTATCTGCACAGTCTGGAGTTAGGTTTTGATCCCTGATTACCTTGAGAAAGGAGGACAGAATGGAAAAAAGGAAAAATTTTTTAACTGTTGAAGAAGCAATTAATGTTTTTTCTCCCCAGCTTGGCCAAATTATAACTTCTGAGTCACTGCACAGCTTGTGACCAGTCCTTTTGAATTAAGTTTCAGCTCACTAAATATTTCCTTCTAAATCAACTTCCACACAAACAAGCACAGAAAGAGTCTTTCAAAGAGTGATTTGACATGTTAGTTTTAACTTCCATAGAATATAATTTGTGTCAGTGTTCAGGGAAAAGCAAGGCATGTGTATTGACAGAGAAACTAGAATATCCTTCAGCGTTGCAAGGACTGGTATTCTACAGGATGTTTTTTTATAAACTGAAACTATTAGTTTGGCTGCTGTCTTTCAGACTCTGCATAGCAATGCTTACTCAAATTGCTAACCTAGAGCCTACTACTGATGCATCTTTCTGACAATTTAAGTAAAAGTTAATATTATTTCTGTAAGTGATTATCCAGAACCTTAGTGATTGAATGCTGTCATAACTTGTGTTTTTGATTGATGTTTCAGACCTTGAAGTTCTTGAAGAAATCTGGTCCTTTAATAAGTGAAGCCATTCATGACAGCTACACTAGGTGTCTTGTAGCTGGCTTGCTGTCTCCAAGACTGGTTGATGTCCAGCCATCCAGTTTGAGTCAGGTGAGTGTATACTGGGGAATCCAGGAGAAAGTATGTCCATCTTTTCTGACAGGACTGTAGAGGCTACATGATCATCTGATTTTTATGTGTTTTGCAAGTTGCACTGAAAGGCAGGTGTTGACTCTACTTAGCAAAAGTAAAAGTATTGTTAGATCCGAACTACTGAGTTCAACTGGGAACAGCCCTAAGAGGTCTGTCTTTAGGGACCCATCTCTTAATGTGGTGCCCCAGGTGTGCATAAGGAAGCGTGCAGTCAGTACTGGTCATGTGCATTGGAAAGCATCTTTCCCTTGGAACAGCCTTCATTCCCGTCAGTGTCTCAGAGCACTGGGTTCAGTGCAGTAGCTGGTGATGGGGTGTCTCCCTCAGGCCATGCTATTGCGAACATCAGCTTGCTGCACTAGGCATGATCATTTGCTTCCAAGAAAGTGGGCTGTGCTAACCAATTACTGTTGTCGGCTCTGACAATTTCATCACCACTTCCCCTCATTTTCCCTTCATCAGTAGGTTTTTCTGTACCATCTCAAAACTAATCTTCACCTCTGTAGCCTTGGCCTTGAGCTACGGTAGACCAATTTCCTCTCTCAGACTGCCCTCTTGTTGCTGCAACACCTTCATCACCTTTATGTCCAATCACTTCACGCCCCTCTGTCACGTATCATGGTTTTCCATTTGCAGTACAATAACCTTTTTCTCTCATCTGAAGAGTTTCATGAGAGAAGGAGCCTTTGTGATGAATAGCCTGTCTTTCCTGAGACTGGGTCAAAGCTAAATGGTCAGCTACTCATCATACTCATAGCAGTGAGCAGTAGGAGGGGGAGAGCAGTCTTCCCCCTGCCCTTGTCATCCTGTCTGTGGGATTCTTCACCACCCGGTGGAAATGTGTTACGGCAAATAGCACTTCAGCACAGTGTGGTAGCTAAAATAAATTTCTTGGCAAGCTGACCCAGCCCATAGAACACTTATTTTGCAAACCTGATGAAGGCTCTTAGGCTCTGATTAGATGTTCTGGTGTGAACTCTGGTTTGGAAATAACTTGGGAAAGCAAAAAAATTTATGATGACCTTTGCTGAATTGTGACTGTATTGTTTGGAGACTTGTTAAGCATTCGAGTGGGGATTGCTTTTAAATGCCAGAAAGAGAAATTTCAGAATTAGGGTCAAGAAGCTTGGTTTGGAGTTTTGTTTGCCACTGTAAGTAGTACTAGTGTGTTTCTTTGTCTGAAACCTGTTTCCAGAAAAAGTGAAAGTATCATGTGTTTTCTGAAGTGAAGAAATTTCTTTAAATGTAATGATTTTACCTAGAAGGCAAACATACTTTTGAATTTATTTTAAAAAATAGAAGGGGAAAAAAAAGTAAAATGTAATGCAGGATCATTTCACCTGAAAGAAGTGTCTGAACACCACCTGAAATAAGCTGCTACCTTATTTCCCATGTGTGTGCACGCCTGTGCATTGTCCTCAAGGATTGCCATGATGTTACACTGCAGTATTTGAACAACCCCTTAGAATTGAAAGGTTTCACTTCTCTTCTGGCACTTTAACAAATTACGACTTAATGTTTTGGGTGTCAAAGCTGCTTCATGTTGGGATAGTCCTGGAAGCTGCTTGACCTGAGCTTCACTGTTTCCATGCAGACACAGTTGT